CTTTATGGCTCTGAAGGTTTTCAAGAACGGAGGCCAAACGGTATAACAGAAGATGCTCCCAATGCTCGTAGGCTTAGAAATTCCGAGGATTGGGGACCTGTGAACCAGGAACTGTGGACAAAGACAAAACATAGACGAGACATGTATTGTGGTCGTTCAATTGACCAAATATGTACGTTGGCGGCAGTAATGGCATGAGGTGTTAGACCGGTGGAGTCAGACTGAACCTCCGTTCAGCAATCTCAGCACTTGAGTTCTGGCTAAGAAAGAACTCAGAGCCAAGACTCAAACTGAAAGAGCAAGTTTATGTCGCAGAGGTAGAAGAAATCAGTTCAGGAAACAAGTTACAGGGGCAAAAAAAAAAAAAAAGGTTGTTGGGGAGGTGGCCGGGGCTTGGAGCTTCAGAGACAAGGAAAATGTCCCCAAGGGAAGGGGGATGGAAAGGCAGGGATATGCTCTACAGAGAGCTGCACTGGGTCCTCAGTCTTTTATTTTAATTTTATTTATTTTTTAGTATTTTTATTGATTTCTGAGAGAAAGGGAGAGGGAGAGAGAGATAGAGACATCAATGACGAGAGAGAATCATTGATAGGCTGCTTTCTGCACGCCCCCTATTGGGGATCGAGCCTGCAACCAGGGTATGTGCCCTGACTGGGAATAGAACCGTGACCTCCTGCTTCATTAGTCAATGCTCAACCACTGACCCACACTGGCCGGGATGGGTCCTCAGTCTTGAGGTTATTTAACTGGAGGTCGCAAGGAAAGATCCCAAGAGAATATTCATCAGCTTTCTAGGTGTGTCCTTTCAGGGTCATGGTCTCTACTGATTGGTCAATGTCAGGGCAGGAAGTCATTAGTCAATGTAGCTGGTCCTAATGTCAAGCCATGGTGTCACTTGTCTGTTTTTTCTGGGCCTGGAGCTGAAACACGACTGAGGCCTAGATGTATTTGATGTGGGTCAGTCAGAACCTCATTGTCTTGGAGGCTTAAGAGCTATTCTCCTCGAAGGGCTGGGGGTCTAACCCATATGACCAGCAACATGCCAGGCAGGAAAGGTCAGGGGAGGATACAAACTGCATGACCAGTGAGATGAAAGGTCAGCGGGTCTAACCTGCATGACCACCTATATCCTAGGGGAGAAAAGGTTACCCTGAGGGTGAGGTCCTTGTTTTCCCAGTTTTGCCCATTGCTAGACACCTGGAGCTTTCTGTTCTAGTGACCTTCTGTAACCTGGCCCATCATTCTTGCTCTGCTCATATCTAACTGCCTACCACATGTGTCAAAAAAACAAAACTTCACCCTGGCTGGTGTGGCTCAATCATTAGAGTGTGGGCCCTCACAACAAAGGGTCTTGGATTTGATCCTTGATCAAGGGCACATACCTGGGTTGCAGGTTCCATTCCAGGCCCCAATCTCAATCTCTCTCTCGCTCTCACTCTCTTCTCCCCCTACTCACCCTCCCTTCCACTCTCTCTAAAAATCATATTCTCAGGTGAGGATTAACAAAAACAAAACAAAACTTTCAACCAAGTAAATTTGAAGATTTAATTGGCTTTATTCAGTGATTCACAATTGAGCAACATCCCATCTAGCACCTAAAAGGGCGTTCCCAGGGGTTATACAAAATAAAGGGATTTTATAGAAGATGGATTTATTAGGGAAAAAAAGATGATTATTTGGGGGCCAGAACATCTATATATATTTAATTGATTTCAGAGAGGAAGGGAGAGGGAGAGAGAGATAGAAACATCGATGATGAGAGAATCATTGATTGGCTGCCTCCTGCACGCCCCCTACTGGAGATCAAGCCCGGAACCCAAGCATGTGCCCTTGACTAGAATAGAACTGGGGACCCTTCAGTCAGCCAGCCTATGTTCTATCCACTGAGGCAAACCGGCCAGGACCAGAACGTCTTTTCTTTAGGGGTAGGAAAGTAGAAGGGTTTTTATTATGTAGATTGTCTTGCTACTTCTTTCTACTTACTGGTTAATTAGTCATATTTATTCGGTGCTTGATCAGAAAATTCCAGCCTCATTAAGGTTAATTAAGATTACATTTCTGGGAGAGGTTAAAACTGCAATTAGATCAGGTATTAAATCTAGGTTTGGCATCATGGGCTTTTAGCACTAATAATGCCATTTTGGGCCTGCAGTTTTCTTTTTAACATATATATTTCTTATAAATCACAATATCACAGATGTCCAATGTGCTGTGGATGGCTGTGAAGGAGGAACTGACCTTTTAAGAACTAGAGAAGATGTATACTGATTTCTGGACTGGAGATGAGAATTGAAGGGAACCTGAGGTTGCTTGAAACTTCATGGGCGTGAACGTGGGTGTGAAAAGTTTTGATTTCCTTTTCTCTCAACTGCAGGGTCTTTCAAGGAAAACAGACTGGGGCTCACAGGCAGTCTGTGTGGGATGTAAGAAGATGATAAGAGTTAAAGCTAGCGCGGCTGGCATGGCTCATTGATTGAGTGTCGACCTCTGAACCTGGAGGTCACAGTTCGATTCCTGGTCAGGGCACATGCCAGGGTTCTGGGCTCGATCCCCAGTAGGGGGCGTGCAGGAGGCAGCCGATTGATGAGTCTTTCTCATCATTGATGTTTCTATCTCTCTCTCCCTCTCCTTTCCTCTCTGAAATAAAAAACATTAAAAAAAAAAAAAAGAGTTAACGCTAGATGGTCAGTCCCTCAAAAAAGCCTGCCTGGCTAATGGTTTCTCCTTATACCTGGAAGAAAATGCCCAGGAACTCAGCAACAGTGACTGACTTCAGTTAATGAGTAAGAAGGGAAGCCTGGGCTGCTGATCCAGGGAGCGTGAGCCTCAAACCTCTGAGAAAATTGACTTGTCTTACGAGGTAGGCAGGACAGGTCCCCTTTTTGTCAAGCATAATAATAGCTACCCTCCACTTAGCACTGACTATGCACTAGGCACTCTTCTAAGCTTTTAACGTGCATTATTTCCGTTAATTCTCACTGGATTTTACAAAGTAATATTATACCCATTTTACAGATAAGAAATTGAGGCACAGAAGAAATGAGAAACTACTCAAGGTTGCTTTGCTTGTGAGCAGCAGAACCAGGTCTCGAACCCAAATGGGCTATTTCTAAAGCCTGTGTGCTTACCCTTACCCCATACAGCAGTGGTTCTCAACCTTCTGGCCCTTTAAATACAGTTCCTCATGTTGTGACCCAACCATAAAATTATTTTCGTTGCTACTGTTATGAATCGTAATGTAAATATCTGATATGCAGGATGGTCTTAGGCGACCCCTGTGAAAGGGTTGTTCGACCGCCAAAGGGGTCGCGACCCACAGGTTGAGAACCGCTGCCATACAGGGTGGCACCTGGAGATTGTTGTCTGCCCTTACCTTTTTTTATAGGATTTCCACAGACTCCCACACACCAGGGTAAACCCTGCTTTGTTCCATCTAAACAGTCTAGTACAGCCGTGGGCAAACTACGGCCTGGATCCGGCCTGTTTGAAATGAATAAAACTATTGGAAAAAAAAACCCGTACCCTTTTATGTAATGATGTTTACTTTGAATTTATATTAGTTCACACAAACACTCCATCCATGCTTTTGTTCCAGCCCTCCGGTCCAGTTTAAGAACCCATTGTGGCCCTCGAGTCAAAAAGTTTGCCCACCCCTGGTCTAGTAGTTTCAGGACCTCACCTGGGGAAAAGAGCCCTTCACAATGAGCCTTAACTTTACCCCATGGCCTAGAATAAGGATTTTGGAGCTCTGTGCCACAGGTGCTCTGGTTACTTAGTCATATTTATTCTGTCTAACAGGAGCCATGATTTTTGTGGTGGGATGAATTTATGGGGACAAAAATTTGGTTTATTGATAGGTGTTGCTGGATTTCCAGGGGGACACTGGTGACCTTTTGTTGGAGGCAGAGCTGCCAGGGTAGCCCCTGGAATCCTTGTTTCCAGCAATGGCACTCAGATTTCACTCTTAGTGACAGTGGGGAAGGGTGAGGAAGGGAAAAGTCCCCTTCTCCCAGTCACAGAATTCCACGGCTCTTCTCCCCTCGTGGGGAAGCGGGCTCAAGGACATACATCTCAAGGCTGATGGCTGCATTCCGATTTGGATGGGCAAAGGTTTAGGAGTCCCCTTTCATTTCACCACCTCAGTTTATTTTAGAATCAATTTAGAATTAAGGTAAAGAAAACCTCTGTGAAGTCTTAATTCTGGTTCAGAATTTAAACACAGGCTCAAACATTCCCAAAGAAGTTCATGCCTGTCTTTTCCTAAATATTTCCCAGAGGACACGGCTCCATGTTACCAGAAAGGGGACCTAGCCCTGAACCGGTCTGCCTCAGGCAGTGGTTCTCAACCTTGGCTGCACGTTAGAATCACCTGGGAATCTTTTTAAAATCCTGATTTCTGGGGCCCCACCTCATAACAACGAAAAAGAATTTCCGTTGGATGAGGCCCAGAAATCAGGATTTTAAAAAGATTCCCAGGTGATTCTAATGTGCAGCCAAGGTTGAGAACCATTGGCCTAGGGCCAGTCGGCAGTGTGTGTAACCTGGGGACAGTGAAACAAGCAAGGGCTGGGGGAAGGTCGAAGAGAGGACGCCCGCCCAGGCAAGCAGGATTTCAGCAGAGTCTGGACCTCCAGAGAGCCGGGTTTAAGGGGAGAGCATTCCAGGGGCAAAGGAGCGCACGTCGGTAGAGCCTGGGAAACGGCCCGGTCCTCCAGGCGGCGGGTGGAGTCGGTAGGACCAGGACGATGGCCCCACCCACGCCCTGCGCCGCAGGCTCGGGTTTGGTACCTAGCGGTCCCGGAACGCAGGTAGCCAAAGGGAGGCACGTTTAAACCGAGACACCTGACGCACGCCCGGGCGCCTCCCGATTAGCCCCGCCCACTTCGGGGCGGAAAGCCGTGGGTAGCTGGCCTATCATCACTGCCGAGGCCAGCGAAGCCTCTTTTTCATTGGTGAGCGGTAGGGTGACGTCATGTCCCTCGGCTCGGCAAAGGAAGAGGGCGCCATGATGATTGGCTGGCGCTGGGGCGGTGGGCGGTGGGGCAGCCTGGCGAGCCTGGGTTGCAAACCCGTGCCGGACTTTCCCTTTCCATGTTTCGCAGCCCTGGGGTTGCTGCCGAGGCCTGGGAGTCGGCTGGGCAGAAACCTGAATTTGGTCCTAAGAGCAACGGGGTTGACCGGAAGTGATCTTGGGGCTGACCGGAAGCGAGGCCTGGAGGGACAAGGGAGCGCGGGTCCCGGGAGGGAGGGGGCGTTCCTAGCCGTAGGGGGGTGGGGGGGAAAGGTGAGACGGCGACCTGGGAGCGCCGGGGAGGCCGTGGGTCGCTGCTGTTTAGGAAGCAGCGAGTGACCACAACGCGCAGAAGGGGAGAGCCCGGAGAGGAGGAGTGTGGGTGCGCAGGGCTGCCCCGGGCAGTCGGAATAAATCAGCGGAAGGGCCCTCTCGCGGCTCCGCAGAGCCGACTGCGAGGGATTTTGAAAGTCGGGGCAGAACCAGGAGCCGAGGGTAGGGGAGATCAGTGCAGGTCGGGCTAAAGCGCAGCTGGTGGGTACTGCGTGGGAAATCGTGGTTTGCAGTGTTCTCCAGTCCTGCCCCCATTGGATAGAATCACACTGCTCACCTTTGTGCAAGAAACAGTGTCTCCTGGGGCCAGGAAGCAGCCAGCATGGCTTGGGCTCTGAAGCTGCCTCTGGCCGATGAAGTGATTGAATCCGGGCTGGTGCAGGACTTCGATGCTAGTCTGTCCGGGATCGGCCAGGAGCTGGGTGCCGGTGCCTATAGCATGAGGTGAGTGAGATTTTCCCAGACCCTGCACCTTCTGAATTGAATAACAAAGGCAGGATAGCAGTGTAGATTGGTCTGGACTTGTATGAGGAAGAGGCTATTCTGAGCATGTGGGGAATGTCGAGGGAGTTGGGGCGTTGGAAGCTGGGTCTTAATGATGAATATTGGTTGACTGTTGGAAGGAAATGTGAGACCTTGGTGAAGAAGTCCACACATCTGTATCTTAGCCTGCTTTTAATGCTTCGCTTACTTCTAGGAACTTTTGAAACATAGTTGTGAAATGGAAAAGTATCAAAGAGGACTTTTAGATGCTTTTAGAGCTTCATGTATCAAACCAAATGTTGATAATAAAGTACCCTTTGGAAGCAACATTACTTTCCCATGTAATTTATTTGCATGCATTTACCTACTTCATTCTCCCAGGATAGTTTGTTTCATGTTTAAGATGTGCAAGAACCATGTCTGGAAATGTTGAAACATGTGCATCTTAGGGTTAGAGAGAATGTAATTGGGTTTCCAAATGCATTATAAGGCTTAATCTAAATAAGTAAATCAAAAGAGACTTTATTTTTATTGAATTTATTGGGGTGACCTTGGTTAATAAAATTATATAGATTTCAGGTGTACAATAAATACTGTAATACATCATCTGTATATTCTATGTTTACCACCCCAAGTATCCTTCTATCCCCATTTATCCCCCATTTATTCTCTCCTACCTCCC